CCTCTGTTATCCTAACCGAAACAGGGGAACGACTATTTCGCGGCGTCGATTAACATAATCGTAGCGAGAATTTACGCCTCTCGCTGACGCGTTCTCCTAGCGACCGCGTCTCTTCGCGAACGGTCGTAACAATTGAATTTTTATTCCATTTCTAACACGCTCGCCCAAGCCTATTTAACATTATATCTAATTTAAAATACATTTTCTCATAAAATTAATAACGGTAGATAATTGCGTGTCTTTCGTTGGATGTAATTTAAGTTTATCAGGTGTATAGAAAAATTGACTGAATTACGAGAGGAGAAAAGATTCTCGTTAGTAATCTTTCTTTGTTTCTTAATCTGAGCAAACTTGTTCCTTAATTTATGCCAAATGTAATAATCAGATAGCATGAAATTTATTTGTGAAATTCCATTTTCTCTTATTAGCAAATTTGTTAGCCTCGTGCAACAGCATTTATCAGCGTGTTGTAAATTACAATTTTTATTTTGTAAAATTCTACTAACGATTTATTAATTGTCAATGACGGAAAGAGGCTGAATTCGTACGAATGTTCATTGTCGTTAGCTACTATCCATGTCTATCGTCCGATACGGTAGACCGCAGATAAAAAAGCAAATTGGCTAAAGAATCTGAGTACCGAGGTCGTACATTTTTCTCTCAGCATCCAGATATCTTTTCACGCGTCGGTCTCGTTCTCCTTGGACGTTTCAATTACGTCATCTTTGACACAGGAATGAATTGAACGACTTAAATCTTCTAATAGGACACTATTTATTCCATTATGAAAAGTATCAGGTCAGAAATTTCGTAATACTTCCGCCTTACGGTTACGATTTCCAATTTTTCATCCTCTTCTCGTGGAATTTCTCTCCAAAGTTATTTCGATTATTAATGGGTAAAATATCGTTTAGCAAAATACAACTTCTAGTTCAAGTTACCAACGACTAATATCAAATTCGAACAGGGTTCTCTCTTCGGATCTACTTAATATCTTTAACAATACGACGAATGTTTAATTCAATTTCTTTTATTATTACATTTCTTCGTACGTATTATATAAACCTGCATAAAAATCCGCCATCTATTTATCATCATTAGCTCTGCGATGTAGAGTGTGCATGAAAATCCACCGTTTATACCTACGATTATTACCCTCGAACAATTATAAGAAAGCTTCCCGGAACCGGAAATATCTGCCTCGCAATCGATGTCGACTTCGGTTTCCATTGCAAGCTCATAATGCATCGATAAAGTCTCTCGTTTTTCATGCTTTTTAATAAGTCTGATAACAAGTCCCTTTCGACCGATGCAAATTGAATAGACATTGGCTAAAAACCGATAGATCGATCGAACCGAGTCTACCAACGTACCTGATGCAACCTGAATCGTAAAAAAAAAAAAAGAAAGAGAGGAGAGAGGAAAAATTACGGTTGCATCAGGTTTGCCCGATACGGGGCATTGTTGCGTGTTTCGCTTTTATTAAAAACCCTCCTCGGGGATAACCGAACGTATCCAGGTTGTATAGGCCTTGTTCCTTTGGTAAAGTCGAGTATAATCGGCGTCGATAACGAGCCACCCGGTGCTCCAGATAGAGCCGAATCGTTATTGGAAATATCCAGGGCTTTCTTCCATCGTTGCATATCCTCTCAAGTGTGACCCGTATTTCACGGAAGAGGATCCCTCGCATTCCTCTTCCTCTTCCGTTTCTCTTCCGTGTCTTCGCCCTTTGCAGGCTCGTGTACAAGGTCGGAAATGCTCTTTCCTTTGTTCGATTGAATTTTCTGCTTTGACATGCAAAGGATAAAGCAGTTTAGGGAAATTTAACTCTAGAATGACACTGGTCTATGTACTTTCATGCGTATGTAACACTGTGGCTAAGCTAAAACGAAGTGCGAATGTTCGAAACGTTATTGAACACTTTGGAAAAATTCTGTTTCTATCCTTCTTCTTCTGTGTTAAGTTAGATTGTTCGAGAACTTAACGCTGTTGAGTCCAATAAAATTTAAAATTATAACGTTGTATAATTAAAAAAAGGAAGAGAGGAGATTGATGGTCAAATTGCAGTGAAAAGGAAGTTTAGGTATTTTTTGATATTTGGTTGTTTTGATCAATTCTAAAAAAAAAAAAAAAAAAAAAAAAAAAATAAAAAAAGAAAAATATGACTAAACAAGAGATGAAAAGAAGAGATTCTGCGACAAACGAACTCGGTGGATACACGTAGCTTAGCCAGCTTCTAGAGAAAATCGTTCTCCTTTCTCGTAACCGACCTACATTTATGAAACAACCATCTCCTCTCGGCCCAAATTTCTCGTTGGTCCTCCAGTTTTCTCTTTGATTCTGCTTATAGCAGAAAATATTTTCCTCGACGTTTTCTAAAAAAATCCCCGTTAGACAACTAGGAATCCAGTACTAGAATTTATGATCAAAAAGAAGAGGCAAATTTTTTGGGAGAAGTTGGAACAGATATGTATGAAAATTTGAGGGATAGTAAAAATGAAATAAGAACATTTAATATTTATTATTCACTAAATTTTAAAAATATATATATGTTTGTTTATTTATATATTCAAATATTCATACATAATTATATACAGGGTGGTTGGTAACTGGTGGTACAAGCGGAAAGGGGGTGATTCTACGCAAAAAAAGAAGTCGAAAATATAGAATAAAAATTTTTCGTTTGAGGCTCTGTTTTCGAGAAAATCGACTTTGAATTTTCGCTCGGTACGCGTGCTCTTTGTCGCGTCTCGTTATAACGGATCTCACTGTAGATCGTTGTCTCGATGGAAAAATTAAAAAAAAATTGTTATTCTATATTTTCGGCTTCTTTTTTCGAATAGAATCACCCCCTTTCCGCTTGTACCACCAGTTGCCAACCACCCTGTATATAAAATTGGGAATCTTCAAATTCATCCAGAATTTCAAGTATTTAATATTCATTTACGGATATTTGAAGGTCAAAAACATTGAATATTTTAGATGTTAATCTAATTGCAAATATTTCAGAAATTTGTAATATTTGAAATTCACCAAATTCCAAATACTCTGTATACCTAAAATACCAAATACTTCGCCATTTATCTATCTTCGCCATTTGTAATATTTGAAATTCACCAAATTCCAAATACTCTGTATATCTGAAATACCAAATACTTCGCCATTTATCATATTTCGAATGTCCCATATTCGCCAAATTCCAAACACTCGATGCCCCCAAAGTGCCAAATATTTTGCATCCATCAAATTCCAAGTACTCGATATTCCCAAAATTTCGATTAATTCACATAACCAAATATTCGAATTCCCATCATTCAATTACTCAGATATAAATGCAAATCTATCATAGTTTCCCAATCTGATAAACGCGCAGGGTATGAATATCGAGATATGCTCCAACATTTTGGCGAACGTTTCGTCAGCTTGTCGGAGATTTATCGTCGATCGAATATTAAATACGTGGAACCGGCTTAGCAACAATGTACGTCGGCTACACGACTATACACAAAAGTAATGAGACGACTGAGGCAGCTCAGAATGGATGTACACAAGATACGTACACCCCTTTATGTATCGTCCACCAGTACAATGTACACGAGTCGTTGTATATATACCCTCGTGTGTTACGCCATGGTTCGTGTAACTTTACACGGCGTAACATTCGTCTCCGATTTAATGGAAAACAAAAGAACAACATGGATATTCCTGTTTGTCTGGAGAGCAAAAAAGTCGTGTTTAAAAGTAAAAAAGGTTATGATGTTCGCAAGAAAAGAACAAATAACTGGACTCAAGATACGTCATTACTTCAACATTAATAGGTTAGGACTAGGTTATATTAATTAAATGAATTTTACCATATATGAGCTTTTTAGAAGAATAATGGATTAATTTTTAATCTACTTATTTACCAATTTAATTAATTATTTACCAAACATATTAGCAATTTAATTTAAAGTATTTTAATTCGTTAATATTCAAATGATCTTTCCTGTGATAACCTTATTCTATTAATAATCTAGTAAATTGGGCTTTCTGGTAATAATCTAGTGATAATTTCTTTAAAAGTGTCTCAGTACATTGGAACATCTCTGTTATAGCGTATAAATATATTCAGAAATAATACAACAATAACGTGTAATAAGGAGTGATAAAATAAACGAGCAATTGATTATAAAATCGCCAAATTTTGTAAAATCTTTAATACTATGACAGGGATAGAACATTTTGAACAGAATAAGTGGGGAGGCAGTTTCTCCAAGATGATTGTAACTTTCACGACGAAGATTGCACGCCTCGTTGTCTGTTACGAATCTATGAATGGGCCCCATTCATTCCATTTGCATTTTTACTGGCCGATCGCATGCAGCTTGCTTCTGTTCTCGAATGCAACGCCACAACCTTAATCACGACTGTATCATATCGAATTAAAATAACTGAATTTTTATGTGAACTAATTAGACGATAATTTTTCTTGAAGATTCTGTTTGATGATTCCATTTAAAGATTTTATTTGAAGATATTTCGTAGAAGATTTATTCGTACTCTTTTCATCGATAATTTTTCATCTTTACATGAATTTTTTACACGATATGTTCCAAACGAATATCTCAATTTTTCTTATGGTCTTTGGGATGATAGAGAAATTTTCTTTTATTCAGAGAAAGGCAAAAGTAATGATTTGTATTTCTTTCTGTTGTACTAAACAACGAGTGGACGTTTACCCACATCATAATTTTAGCAATTATTTCTTTCTCCACTCGTAGGACTGGAAATATAGAAGGAAGTATATCTTCTTGAAAATACATAAAGAGAGTACAAAATAAAGAAGTAGAAAAAAGTTTAACCATTGAAATAGTAGAGTAGGTACGTTGTATGCAATGTTGGACATTATTGAATAAATTTGTTTGTTACATGAAAGTCCAAATGAAAAACAGGAATAAATTATTTGTTATTTGGACAAGCTTAAATACATTATTCAAGATAATGAAATTAACTGTTAGTTACAAGTACGATTGTATTTTTTATTTATTATATATGTTATTCTCTACATGTTACATTCATATTGCAGGTATATGACGGTTATTATCTGATTGCTTAAGCTGCAAATTGGAGATTCTGTCTTTTTCTTTAGGGGGTATTCGTGTGTCTGATTCTGAATCTTGTCGTAAATCTATCTCGGGACAGAAGTTGATAGAAGTCTCTTACTAAGTTATAATATGAATTTTCATGAAAGTCCGTAGTCCGATAAAGACGCTCTTCGTTGAAAATTTTGTCGTTTGAGAGATTCACACGTGTGACGTGACTTTTGGCCCATCCTATATAAATTAAAGATCCTATATAAATAAGAACAATATTCTATCCTCTCAGGTTTAAGAACAAAACGCTGTTTTCTTAGTTGTAATCGAAAATTATTCGTTTACAATCTTCTAAAAATACCTGCCATGTTTCATTCCCTGCTCCAGTTACCTTGAAGCAAACTTTTCCCTTCAAGTGTCCGTGATATACACGCGAAAATCAAGTGGCCCGGAAATAGTTCTCGCCATAGCACGAGGAGCCAATTACGAACCTGAATGAACACGAAGAACTTCGTTTATTGCTCCAGCCCTCTATCGATTTGATTTATTAATTCTTCTTTAAAGAAAAATTCGCGCTCCGTCTTAGAAAACGAAACTGACGCTCGTGTTCAAATTTCATACTATTTATATTTTGTCCATAATCGGTACGAGCCAATAATTGAAATTCTGCTGTATTTGAAATTGTATATCATACTATATCGTAATGCATATATTCATCGTATCGAGTATTATGTATTATATACAGGGTGGTTGGTATTATATACGCGAAAAAAGAAGTCGAAAATATAGAATAAAAATTTTTCGTTTGAGGCTTTGTTTTC